ATCTGTGATCGCGAGATATGCTTGACGACGCACAGACAGAATTCTTCTGCAATTTATTTTATTTCTACTGTCTTTATTATTTTTGGATGAATATTATGGAGAAGATTACCATGTTTATGGATAGCTAAATTATTTTTCCAGCCAAAGGATTATTCATGATTTGGTTCTACATGATTTGTGAGATCTAATTGAGTTTTCAATTCCCTATTCTCTTTTATTCGTATGTCTCTTGTGTTTATTATCATTTCTTATTTTGGTTGATTGATGCAAAAAGAGCTCTTTGTTTAATTATTGGAATAACATATCACCATTTAGGACATTAAATTCGTAATTGTTTGATTGTTCTAATATTGGTGGCGAAAGAACATAGTTGATTACGAAGGGTTTTTTTATTTTATGTTTAGGGAGATATATGATCTAGTCTAGATGATCCTACATGTGTGTTTGTTGGCTAGAATGGGTGATCCTTCTAGTTTTAATGTTGTTGATAGATTAAATCCTATGATCGTATTTAGGACTGTATGTTGATTGGAGAAATAATTAGAGATCGTATCCTGATTATCGAACAAGTAAGGAAGGATTGGTTATTAGGTCGTACCAATAACCATAACCAGTTTAATTGAGAGTAGGAGAATTATCTTTACATCTATGATCGAATCATTGAACTATTTCTACGAATTTTTCCTTTGGTTGAATATTTTATCTCCGTGATTTACTGTAATTCAAACTTGAATCTCTTTTCTTTGTGTTTATTTTAATTGAATTTATTTTTATTATTTTAGGTAGATTGAACATTTCAAAACCCCCATCTTTTTATTTCTTTATTATTCCTTCACAAAATAATTGAATCGACTCATTTCATCCAATCTCTGTGAACATGACCCTACTCATTGCTATTACAATTTTATATTCTAGACGAGTAGGAATTTATTATTGTTGGTTTCGACACCCATCACATTGTCTAAATCCAAACTAACTTATTAATTATACTATACATTTAGTTATGTTGTTAATAAGTCTATACCTCCCAACTTGTTCTTTGAGTAGTCCATTTAAAAAAGAGGAATTTGCAACCCTTACCATTCAATTTTAATTTTATAACATTTTTACAGCTGATTTAGTTTTATTTATAAAACTACAATTTGAGACCTAAAATATTACATATATACCACCAGGTTCAGTTACGGAATTATGGGGCAAATTAAGGGTAATTATATCGTTAATTATGAATAGCATATATCTTTTCCAAAACGGCACCCCCCACTTTCTCCAAAGAAAAAACGGTACCCCACCTTCTCTCTACAGGAAAACCGATTGTTTTGCTCGGTCACCGCGAATTCCGCCACCTCCACCACCTTCACATCGTTCTGATTCTAGATCGGTTGCCACCCGCGTTGCCAACACTTTTCTCCTTCTCTACAGGAGTCGACAAGGGAGATTTCATCAATTATCGCCGGCGCCGGCGTCCTATTTTGAGGAATGGACTTATCATCCTATCACGATGCTCTCCGTTACTCTCTGCGAAATTTCTCGATACAGTATTATTCGATTCGCTCAGCCCAACTTTACCCGGAACAGATCTATTATTATTATTATTATTATTATTATTATTATTATTATTATTANNA